CGGCAGAGCTCTCGAGGCGATAGCACGGGCGGGGCAGGGCCCGGGCCCCGTGTCCATGTCGCACCCCCCCCTCCCCCCAGCACCGTGCAGAAGCGGGAACCGGGAAGGGACGCATTAACCGGTGCGACCCCACAATTAAAGCTGCGGCTGTTTACCACGGTGAGAACAGCTCTGCCTGCCAATGCCAGCCGCCATCACGTCTCCCTACTGCCGGCTCCCCCCAAGTGTTTATTTAAACCAACACATTGCTCTGCTAATTGGATAACATTCCACGTGAAAATAGACCTTTTAAAACAACAGCAGCGGCGGCAAATAAAAACAGCCACAACTGCAAAAGTACAAAGGCACGGCGGGCTCGGGGAGGGGAAATTAAAGGCGCCTGCATGGGGAAAAAAATTAATATTCCGGTTTCCGGGCTGAGAGTCTATCCTTCCCATCCCTTCTCTTCCAGGCTGGCCTTCCTTTCCTCCTGCAGGACCAGCCTGCTCTGCGCAAAGCGGCAGGCGGGGGCAGCTGCTAAACAGAAGCCCGGTGGCTACCGGTGGCCTCTCTGGGGCCAGGCTGCTTCGGGCTCGGGAGGGCTGGACTCGTGCGCTCATGGGCCCGATGCCGGGGCGCTCACTCTTCTGGGCACGCCCCCAAGAGATGTTCCGGCCCCTCCCCCTGAAATGGCTCTAATCGGTGAGTCGTCCTCTCCCCTGGGTGCTGGGGTGGGCAGTGGCGGGCATGCTGAGGACAGGAGGGGCCGGCACTCAGTTCAAGCGAACGAGCAAACGAGGCGGGGAGCGCCCTGGACGCACGGGCTGTGGCAGCCGGTCAGCACGCAGAGTTACCCGGCTCTGCCCAGTTCCGGCTGCATGATCCCGGCTGACCGACGTCACCGCTCTGAGCCTCAGTTTCCAATGCCACCTACCACTCACCTCCTAGAGTCCCGGGAGGACAAGACGTGACAAACGCAAACGCCCAGCAGCCAAAGACAGGCTTCTAGAAATTGACGGTTTTGATCACCGCCAAGATGCTGCCCTTCCGGAAACATCAGGGCCCAGAGAGCCACGGGGGCACCTGAGACAGGGAGACAGCCGTGCACATAAGTGCAGACCCAGGCCACACGGGGAAGACCACTGCATTTGGGATGGCTTGCGTCCTTGACTTCCACTCTTCCCTCGTCAGCCTCTGTCCTGCCCCCTCCACCTCGAGGGAGTAGGTTCTTTGGAAGACATCGCCTCACCACCCCCGGAGTTTTAGGGAACACGAACACTTTCAGAGGGCCTAGGACTCCGAGGGCTGACAAACGACCTAGGAAGGGGGAACGTGCCAGCTCACCGAGGCCGTGATGAGGGTAGACGGGTCTCCTCCAGCTTAGTGCCTTGGCCCCGGGGGCCAGCGCCAGGCTTCGCGGGGATCGGTCCACGGGGCTCTGCAGCGGCTGCACAGACAGAGCTCGGCGGCCGTGCGGAGACCGGGAGGGACTCATGCAAATCTCCTGCCCGATTCCCGGGGCCGCTGCAGGTTGGGACGAGACAGTGCACGTGTGGTGTATATATCACGTACAAAAGCCGGTGCGGTCGGTCGCAGGGGCCTCTGACTATTGTCATCAGTTGCCTGGTTACCCTGAGCTCTGCCACGACAGCCTCTGCGGAGCCTCGTGCTAGGATTCTCTTCACAGTTTGGGGGTGTGCGCTTGCCCCAGAGGGGCCTGACGGATGACAAAGTCCCTGATGATGCACGGGCGGGGTGGAAGGCAGTGTCGTGGAGGAAGGTCGGAGGACTCAGGGTGCAGGGTGCAGGGACGGCGCAGATGGGCAGGCTGCCGAGGGGCTGCCTCGAGGGGCGGACCGGGGCTAATTCTCACCTCGGCCAGCTGGTGAAGGGGGCTGGCTGATGCCGGGGAAGGAGCACGGTCCTGGGAGCCAACGTATCTGGGTCCCGGCCCCCGGCCAGACACTATCAGTTTCTCCACTGCTTCCCAGACTGAACACGGAACGCCCAGCTGTCCGTTACCCTCTCCCTTCTCCCCTGGTACCAACCCCCCCATTTCACCCTCCCCTCCCCTCCTCCTTTCCTCCCATCTGAGCACGGCCCGGGGCCCCCAGGGGAGGCTCTGATGCCAGGTTCCCGCGTGGCCAATGCCAAGAGTGACGCCTTCCATCCCCACGGAGGGTGTCCTGCCGGGCAGTGGGAGTGAACCCCCTCGCGAGGGGTGCAGGTGGGTCAGGCAGGGATCAGTCAAGCTCCGGAAAGGCTTCTGAAGGAGGAGGACTCCTCCTTCCCCGAGTGCTTACGAAAGAGGACGGCCACTTAGGGGGAGCCCGCCAGATGGATGGGGGTGAGGCGCGTCCCCCCGGCACTCCCACCAATTCCTTCTGTGGGAGTAAAGGTCTCGGGTGCTCTCCTCGGCGTCTCCCTGCGACCTCGCACCCCGTCTTCGGACTCACGCCCCCCCCCCCACCCGGCTCAACACGTGCGGCAGTCAGAACCGCGTTCATCGACGTGCAGTGCGCGCAGCCCCCTGGGTCTGTGGCGGGTGCTGGCCGTGCCACTCGGAAGACAATGAGGTTCTCCAGACAGACACGGAGAAGGAGAGGGAGGCACAGCTTCCCCGGGAGGCAAAAAGAGCAACGTCCTGCTGAGTCCACACCGTGTGAGGGCCGGCTCGCACGCTGGCGGGCACGCGGGGCCCCGGTCCTCATGCGCCCAGAGGAAGGGCTGCGGCGGGGACGCAGGAGCCCGGCCGCCGCCTGTGGGAGGCGAGGGGCAGAGGGGCCAACCCGGAGGGGCCGCGGGCTGAGTCCCTGCTGTCCTCGGCCGCCCTTTCTCCTCCTGGAGGCCAGAGCGGAAGGCGGGGAAGGGGACGGAGGGAGAGGAGCCACCTCCGTGGCTCCCCGGGCACCGTGCCGGCCTTCGGAAGTCACGTCTGCGGCCCGGCTCTAGGGCCGAGCGCCGCCCCGTCTACCTGAGGCGCCCCTCCTGCCCCGGCGATCCCGGGGAACGAAACTGCCACTGACCGCGTCCCGGCAACGCGGCCATTGACGCTGGAGGCTGGGAGCCCACGCCGGGTCTGAGCCTCCAGCCCCAGGAGCCACATCGGTTGGGACATCAGCCCCAGCCCTGGAGAGAGGCCGCCGTGTGCAAGGGACACGCCCTCCAGCTGGGGGGCTCCGACACCTTTTCTCTCGGCTCTGTCCTACCCCTCCTCCTTCTGAGAGCATCTCCCTTGTCACCACCGCCACCCTCCTCCTCCCGGGGCCAGCGCCACTCCGAGGACATCGCCCCCACCCAAACCTCACGACAGCTCGGGGAGGAAAATCCTCTCGCCGTCTCGTAAACGTCGCGGAAGCTGAAACACGCAGAACGTGAGTCAGTCGCTTGCCCGAGGTCCCTCGGCAGACAGGGGCAGTGCCAGGGTCCCGACTCAGGCCGTCTGGCTTCAGAGTCTGTGCTCCACCAACGAGCCCCCTCATCAGAGGCCTCTCTTGGGGGTGAGGAGTGAACCCCCTGCTCTTTCTTCCCTGGTCACAATCTCACGCGGGAACCCTGAGAGCAAACAGGCGACCAGAGCTCTGTACCCTCACCGCCCAACCCCCCAGAGGTCCCCCCCCCCCAGCAGGGTTAGGGTTAGGCAGGCTGGGGAGGAAACACTGGCCTGCACTTGCCTTCCCTCTGTCTGGGGTGAAGGCACCCCGGCTCTCGACGGAGCAAGGCCGGTGGGAAGGGGGAAGAAATAACTCACTTGGCTCCAGCACTATGGGCCAGGGTTTCATGCGCGCCGTCAGACGAGGAAACCGAGGCACGGGGCAGGGCTAGGGGAGCCCAGCTGCCGGCAGGAAGGTGCTCCGGACGGCTCCCCTCGTGGCTCCCCTCTGAGTGCATGCGGGTCCCCCCCCCCTCGCCCCCCAGAGGTGCCCGCGTGCCGCACGCAGGGGGTGACGCCGCGGACAGGAGGCAAGGGAAAGGCTGCCAGCCGAGAAGAAAGCAGAGCAGATGTCCGGACAAACGCAGCCACGTGTGGACAAAACAGGCACTTGAGTTCAAGACGCTGAGACAAAGGTGGCTGGCGAGGCTCCCTGAGGTCCCGGGAGGGCCCTCCGTGCCTGCGCGTGTTCCCAGGGCCCACAAAGGCCGCAGCTGTGTCCCCGAGATGTCACCTCCGGCTCCGCCCACTGGGCCTCTGGCAATGGCAGCTCGCTAAAGGCCGACGGGTGTGATTCTAACAAATAACTCTGCTTTTCCCAGGGAGGTCTCATGAGAAGCAGAGGGGGTCCCAGTGTGGGTGAGGCCCGCCCGTCGCTTCCCCCGGACCCTTGACGAGAGGGGAGGCCGACAGAGGGAGAAACGCGCAGGCTCCTGAGGGAGCCCTGGGGATTCAGTGGCCGCGAACACAGCCAGAGCCCCCGACCACACAGCCTCTGCGCTCCCACATCTGCTGCCGGGCTGGGCCCGGCACCCACCCCCGCCGCGCTGCGCCCGGCCCAGGTCACGACGGGCCGCCTTGCTTCAGAAACGAGAGGCGTTCTGCCTCCTAGGAGAATTCTGGAGAATTCTGTACCTGTGCCTCTGCACAGCAGCCCCTGCCTGGGCAGACCTTGCCTGAGGCCCCGGCCGCAAGCGGGAAGATGAGGACAAGACACATGTCCCCGTGGGAGCCTCCTCTCCCAGGGCCGCCCCCCTGGACCCTGCCTTCGGGGGGCGCTCGCAGCCGGGAGCTCTGGCTGCCCTGGGGAGGCCTGGGAAACCCGCTCACTCCCCCACTTTGTATCCCAGGTTCCTGCTTCTGTCACGTGAGCGGGCGAGGGAGGGAGGGAAGGAGGGAGGGGGACACAGGTCTGCCCCCTCCTCCAAACAAAACCCAGGGTCTTGCCTTCCCAGGGAGTTGCACAGATTGGTGGGGTCAGGGAAAGACCAGGAAAACCCCACGGGGCAGGGACATGCCCACATCTGTTAAGGCGTTTCGCTGCTTCTACAAGGGGGCCCTGACGGGGGGGGGGGGGGCACTGCCTCACCTTTGCATCCTGCTTCGTGAGGAAGTCCACAAAGCCGAACCCTCGGTGCGAGCCTGTCCCGCTCATCTTCTTCGGCAAGCGGACGGTCTTCAGCTCCCCGAAGGTGCTAGAGACAGAGGGCAAAGCACAGGAGAGCTAAGAACCGGGGCCCACAAAGGGGCTGGGGTGTGTGCGTGAGGGCAGGACCAGCTTACACTCTCATCCCCTCTGGTTAGAAAAGACAAGTGCTCGCAGGTGCACCCGTGCGCGCACGCACACGCACCGTAAACTGGTGTCGCCTCCCCCACCGGCCGGCTCGCGCTCGGGGCGTGCCTGGCCTTCTCCTTTCCGATCCCGGCCTTCCCGCTGGGCAGGGAGGGATGATGGGGTTGGAGACACGGATGGAGAATTTCCAGTTCCTCTGACAGGCTGGCACCCTCGGCCTCCCTTCGCCTGTGGGGCTGAGGATCCGGCAGGAGGCGCGAGTGGGCTGGGGGAACGGAGCCCCACACAGGCAGGGCCCGGGCCCGGGATCCGGACGCGGGAGGAGGGTCTCCTGACCTGAATCCGCCTGCACGGCTGAGCTGAGCACACAGCAAGCTTGCGTTGAGCAAGCAGGATGAGCCTCTTCTCCCGGCCCCGGGACGCGGGGTGTCTCCTCAGTGCTCCCCGCGGGAACCAGGCGCCGCGACTCCCTCGAAACCCCACCTCCCCTACCTCTGAGCTTTAGTTTTGAGATCTGCTAAGCCAAAATCAGGCAAAGCTCTAGGGAAGAAAATGTCGCCCCCCCCCCCCCCCGCCCCAGTCAGGGATCAAACAGGTAAACACAGCTCGGACCATCCCCTGCCCTCCCTCACCCCAGCCCCGGAACCGGCCTCTCCTCCCAGATAAGCGTTTGAGAGATTCCCGGACAAAAGGATCAGGCCTGCCTGGCCCTCCTGTCTCACTTCCCGGCCCCAACCCCACCCTCACGTCCGTTTATCAAATATATATGCACAAATCACTGCCAATAAATATTTAATGTGCGCGGCGTCTGAAGAGCTGTTATTGTATTTGGAAATCTCCACACACTTGCGGGCGCCGGGGCACACACACACGCGGGCTCAACGGCCCAGGATGCTTCAGGGCCAAAGACCGATTGGGTGAAAAACACAGTAAAGGCCGTAAGCCCTCGTGAAACGACAGAAGCTAAATCCGAGGCGTTAACCCGCGGCCCTGCCAGCAGGACCAGGCATCGGCCGGCCCAATTTCCGAAGGCAGGATGGTGGGTAAATGCGGCATTATGAACCCTCAAAATGAATCTGCACGTCTGCCCGCGGCTCCCCCCAGGCTGGGGAGAGGGCCCGCCTCCCGGGGAGGGGAGGGGCTGGAGGGGGCAGGCGGTGGGGCCCTGTCGGTCTGCCCGCCCGGCTGAGGCTCTCTGGTTCCTTCAGGCAGCAGGGCTGGGGCCCAGGGGCTGGGCAGGTGGGGACAAGCAGGAAGGTGAGGTGGGAGGGCTGAGGAGTCCAGCCTGCAAACCCTGCTTTATTGTGCCACCTAAAGGCCGACACAGCCCATGACAGACAGACGCGGCCTCTCCTCCTCCGCGGGAGCCCCGGGGCCTTGGCCAGGGCGGGCGGGCGGGCGGGCAGGGGGATGGCGGAGCTTTCTCGCAGGCTCGTTGGGTAAACGGTCCTTTGGCTCTGGGTGCTTCAGAGGGACACGGGGGTGCTGCAGGGAGGGTGTGCCTGAAGGGCACGAGGACCAGACTGCAACAGCAGTCAGACTGGTAAGAGAAGGCCTCGGCGAGCACCCATGTGCCCAGGCCGTGCGGGGTGCCATACCGACAAGGGTGCGGACCCCCGATGGGTGTGGGGGTCCTCCCTCCTCCCTGCCCCAGGCTCCAGGCTCCTGCCGGCCGTGGCGGGCTCGCCGTGCCTCTCAACCAGGGCACTGGTGTGGACACCAGGGTGCCCTCTGCCTCCCCCTGAGGCTGGATGGAGCTCAGCTCTGCAACAGCAGAAGCCACATCTATCTTGCTTATCAGGGGCTCCGCAGCGAGGAGCCCAGGGCCTGGCTCAGTGGGATGAACAAGCAAGAACACAGGAGCCCCGGACCACAGACACGACCACCCGTACCTAGCCGCTGGCACGCACGGGGACGTGCCGAGGACTGCGTGAAAACAGACCACGGGGTACGTACGAACAGCACCGAGGTGAATTAGTCTCCCCACCTCCATTTTACAGATGGGGAGACTGAGCTCAGGGAGGCAGCAGCTCCTGTTAGCAAGTGGCAGGGTTAGGATGCGAATCCGGGCGGGTCTGATGTTAAGCCGGAGCTCTCCTTGCACTGCACAGCATTCGGTTTTCCTTCAACTGTCTGGACGGGGGCCGTCCACTTTCAGGAGTGGCGGGGGCGTGGGGGGGGGGGTCCTCTTTTGGAGGTCTGGCCCCCCCCGTCTGGCGTAGAGCTGGAAGGGGGTGGCTAGGAAGGGCTTGCTCGGACTCCCGTGGATCCGGTGACTCACCCGAGACCCCAGGGCTAGAGGGGGCGACTGAGTCCCAGTTCCTCCCGCTCACGCCATGTGCCAGCCTCCTGCCTCTGCCCCCACGGATTACCATCCTGTCCCTCGATGGTCCCCGGTGGCCTCTGCCCAGGTCTCCCCATAGCCCTGATTTCTGGCGAGTTGGCCCACGTGAGCGTGTGCGTGAGAGAGGGAGGGGGAGGGGACAACGGCTGAGGTTAATTCTTCCCTCTGCCGCGCACTGCAAGCTGTGGACGTTCCGTGCATGGCAAGCAGCCGAGGGTCTGGAGAAAGGCAAGGAAAATAATTAAAAGGTGGAGAGAAAAGCTGATGAGGAGAGGCGGAAGGCGGTGTGCCTACGGGGCCGGGAGGACGTGGCACTGAGAGCTTGGCGCGGGGTGGGGGGCGGGGTGCACGGCAGAGGGGTGCCCTTGGATCCACGAGGGACCACGTGCAGAGATCCAAGGGGGGGCCTTGGGGAGGTCCCAGCCCCTGTCTGCACACGTGAAATACTGTGTCCAAAGGCCCTGTCCTTTCCAGGGCTCAGGGACATGGTTATGGGAACGTGTTTCTCCCCCCCTTCTGAGAACGGCACCAGAGAGAGCTGAGGCTGAAGGGGCAGCTGCAGGATTAGGGTTCCATCTTAGAAGGAACTCCCCGAGGCCCGGGAAGCCCCGAGATGAACAGGCAAGGCTTCAAGACACGGTTGTTGCTGCCGAGGCCCCAGGCGCCGATGCCCGAATGCCTGTGAGGTGCTCGGCCTTTTACGGACAGACTCCAGGGGCGCCTGGGTGGCTCAGTTGAGCGTCCGACTACGGCTCGGGTCGTGATCTCGCAGTTCGTGGGTTCGAGCCCCGCCTCGGGCTCTGTGCCGACAGCTCGGAGCCTGGAGCCCGCTTCGGATCCCGTGTCTCCCTCCCTCTCGGCCCCTTCCCCGCTCACGCTCCGTCTCTCAAAAATAAATAAACATTAAAAGAACAATTTCGAATACAGTTTCCAGGCGTCATGACTGGAGGGCACTAATGTCGCTGTCTCTGTTTCCCCAGGTGAGAAAACCAGCGGCCGGGAGGCCCAGCGACCTGTCCACGTCCCACGGCCAGGCGGGCGCGTTCTCACGGCTGCCGCTCCTCCGGCCGGAGGACAATGCTGGGGAAGGTGGATGGTCCTGGCTGCTTGTATCACCGCGCGGGATAATATAAGGCTGATGCTAATGATCTCGCAGCTATATCGAAAGAGAATTAAAAAGAAAAAAAAAAAAAAAAAAAAGGTTGGGGGGAAAAAAATCGATGAAGTACCTTTAGCTCCTTGGAGATAAGCGATATATAAATACCAGCCATTATTAAGGTTCTTATCTGACAGGAAGGTCCACGGAGCCATTTTTAAGAGTGGCTTTTGAAGGGAGTTCTGCACGCCACCCCCCACCCCGACCCCCGTCTCCTGGGAGCAGAGGCCGCTGCCTGGGGGAGGCCGGGCAGGGCCGCCAGGGACCAGAGAGGGAGGAGAATCACAGGGCACCCAAGAACTCCCCCCAGCCCAGACCCTGCCGCTCGGGGAAGGAGACGCGCACGCTCCCCACTGTGTAGATAATAGAAACCACAAAATAGCAATTACTGTATCAGAAGCTGTGAATACAGAGGACATACCGGGCTTTTAAACACGGACCTCTTTCCCTCCCCCACCCGCTCACACTTCATAACAAACTCGCACCTCACTTTTCCAATTATTTCATTCACCTTGGGTTCACCAATTACTCCCCCACGCGGCGGCCCCACCCCCCCCTGCCGCACCCAGAGCGCACGACTGCCGGCAGACCGGTCGGTGGGTTTGCCACAACCGGAGTTTGTTGTCACGTTTCTAATTTCTTCCCAGGCGGGTAGGGGTGGGAGGCGGGAGAGGGGAGGAAGGGGTGGGAGGGGGGTGCGAGGTGTTGAGCGAGGCGAGCCAATTACGCCCGGCCCTGGTAAACAGGTCTGGGCATGCAAATCATGTCTGCACACAGGCCCGAACGCAGGCACAATATGTGTGCGTGTGTGTGTGCGTGTGTGCATGCGGGGACGTCCTCCCTCTGCACACGCTGCACACCCCGTGGCCGGACCACAGCCCTGGCCGGCGACTGCTGGGGCCCTCTGGCTGTGCTACTGAAAACGGGTGAATCGTCCGCTCCCTCCTTGTTTGAAGCGATGGGATCAGGAGGAAGGAGTGAGAAAAGAAAGGTGAGGGGGAGGCAGACAGAACCCTCCAGAGATGCACAACTTGAAAGCCGTACAGCTGCTCTGGTGCCTGGGTTCCGGGGCTTAATGAGAGGGCTGGGAGGCAGCCCGACCCTCTGGCCTGCACGCTGACACCAAGTGGGGGTCGGGCACACCTTGACAAAGAGCCCAGGCCCCTCTGTTCCCAGGATGTGTGTCCTTTCCGCCTCCCTACTTAGCTCTGCCGGAGGAACCGGCAATCCCAGCAGAAGTGCTGAGTCACGTGGGGAACTTTGTTGGCATGACTTCTCTTCCACCTGCGCTCAGTGCACTGCTGACGGGAAAAAAAGAATCAGCCGTCACCCGAGGGACGCAGAGTCAGACAACAGTGTGGTCGCAACAGGACGAAGGGGCGGTTTGCGGTAAGAATACGCC